ATACCTACTGATTTACAGATGTATCTTCAGATTTTTTAAACAAATGTTTCCTAACCTTCAGGTTTTAATTTAAAATTTCATATAGCACATATTATATAGAAATAAGGACTGGCTTCCCCTGAGTATTCTAAGCTAAATGACTAGAAGGCAAAATCTTTATTAAATTATACTTGATGCTTAATTTATGAAACACAGTTCAAAAGTAACTAACCTCCAAACCAAATTCAATTTAAATGAGAAAGAATACCTATTCTAATTAAATAAGTTTTTACTCACTTTAAACAAATCCTTTCCCCCATTCTGTTCTGTCCTGTCCTGTCTGATAGCCTGTCTTGCCTTCTGTGTGTACCAGCAGTGCCCATGGACTCACTCAGGGAGCTCGGAGTGGAAGAGGGTGACTGCAAAGACCGTTTTTTGGAGTCACCAGCAAATTGGTGAACTTACACTTATTCCAGTATAGCTGGTAATAAAACAAAAGTTGGTTTGTGCCATTGTCTTCTTTTACATTCTCTAATTGTTATCTCTTAAAGTGAATTTTAAGATCGTTTTTTCAGGAAATCCTTTATGAAACTGTAAATAAAAGGTGGTTGGACTTACTGTGACCTTGGCCATTTTTTAAAATCTCTGAGCATTATTACTGTATTTTGGTAAAATTGGTATTCTACTTCAGATTCTGATGAGGATCAGGTGATATAATTCATATAAGTTATTTTAGCATGGTGGAGGTGTTCATATAGTAAAAAGTAATTAGCCAAGTCTTCGTCTTTTTTTTAGTATAGTTGGGAGTCAGTGACTTAATCCTTATTATAATTTTGTATACGGAATCCAATAATACATGCAGCATTTTGACATAACGTACTTTCTACTCTCCAAACGAGAATCTTTATTTTCTAAGTGATAACCATAAAAACATTCATACAGTAATGTGAAAGTTAAAATAGTCCCTGTAAGCCCATCTCCCAGAGGTGACTGTTAATACTTGTTGTATCATTACAGTTGACATATAAATTATTAGCTTAAGGTTTACAGCATAGTGATTAGGCATTTATATAACTTACAAAGTGACCACTCTGGTAAGTCTAGTGCCATCTGACCCCATACATAGTTATTACAGGGTTACTGACCGTCGTCCCTGTGCTGTGCTTTCCATCCCTGGGACTGGCGATTTGTACTTCCGTTAATTCTTTCACACCCCACCCCCTGAACCTGGCAGCCATCTCTGTTCTCTGTGTAAGTGTTTCTGTTTTGTTTTTTGTTCATCTTGTTTTCAGATCCCTCATGTATGTGAAACCACATGGCGTTTGTCTTCCTCTGTCATACTGACTTCACTCAGCATGATACCCTCTGGGTCCATCCATCCTGTTGCAAATGGCAAGGTTTTATTTTTTAATAAAAAGTCGTACTCCGTGGTATATGGGCCACTTCTTCATTATCCGTAATCTCTCGATGGACCCTGAGGTTGTGTTCGTGCCTTGGCGATTGTGAAGAATTCTGCGGTGAACATAGGAGTGCCTGTCTTTTCAAGTTTTGGATTTCTTTGGATATATTACGCAGACATGGAATTGCTGGGTCATACGGCAGTTCTATTTTTAATTTTTTGAGGCGTAACATTTTTTTTTTACTACTTTGTGTCTATCTTAAAAAAATACACATACTTAGTATAATGGGATCATACATTAGACATTCTTTTCTGTATCCTTTGAAAGCGCTTTTTCAGGAAGGTGCAGCTACTATTAAATAAATCCCTTATAAGATACAAAACGGCTGCTGAGAACAATCATGAAAATAGGATGGACATTTTAAAAAATATATTTTTATTGATTTCCGAGAGAGGAAGGGAGAGGGAGAAAGAAACATCAACGAAGGAGAGAGAGTCATCAGTTGACTGCCTCCTGCACGCCCCCTACTGGGGACTGAGCCGGCAACCCAGGCCTGTGCCCTGACCGGGAATCGAACCGTGACCTCCTGGTGCACAGGTTGATGCTCAGCCACTGCACTGTGCTGGCCGGCAGGATGGACATTTCTGTAAGACTTGCTGTTTCCTAGTTTATGTGAAATACATCAACAGTTTTGCACAGTTGTTAATTTTGGCAGTTTAAGGGAGGGCCGTGATGTTGGATTTAATTTGGTGGTTTTTCTCTGTGCTTATAGTTCTGAAACAAATACAGTTTAACCTAAAAAGTAAGGTCCCATCTAGAGAATTATTGATAGCTTGCTTCTTTTCCTGCCACTTTCAAAGCAATTAAATCAGATTTAATTTCTGTTGTTTGAGTAAGCAAAACATATTCCATTAAATAGTGCATATTCTCTAATAACCTGCTTTTTAATGCACCTGCTTTCTATACCTTGTGAATGTGGCTTTTTAAAGCGAGCACAGTGAAGTTACATTATTCTCCGTGGGTTTTGGTATGCTTAAAATATCTTTAAAGCTTTCCCGGTATTTAGTGAGCCCTAAATTAGAGGTTTCTTTTAACAGGAGAGCTGTGCTGACTCAGGGTGCATGACAGCCACCTCTATGCAATGGCATTTGTTCTGACGTGATAAACACACCCTGATGTTGCTGTGTTAATACTTGGTGAGCATCATGTCAGTAGAAACTAATACTTTGTTGTGTAGGACCTACATAAATAACTCAGACCTCACTTTGCTGTTGGTGGTAGCGTGCCAGGGAGAGATGATGGCCACAGCGAGGAAATAATAAGAGAGCTCGTTTAAACTTTGGTGGAAAAGGTGAAAGCTCTCATCTTAACTTTGCTTATAAAATTTATACTATGTACATCAAAGCGTAGATATTTATAAGTAGTTGGCTCTTATTTCAGAAATTAATGGAAAATGTGAAATTTTAAAAATGCAATAATAAATGATACTATAACTTTCACTTTAGCTCTAGCTGTATTACAATAACATAATTTTTTTTTTTTTATGGATTTAAGTGTAGGGCAGAAAGAAATCAGATAGATGCCCAAATATAATGTGTATCGCATCAGAATAGCTGGTTGAGCAATTAGGTTAGCTTCTGTAACACTGAGTACAGGGCATGTTTCGTATGAAAATTTTTTCAGTCTTTAAATTACAAATCCTGAAAATAGTACTTTCATGCATTTTATTTGTATATCATTGATAGTTTTTTGTTTACTACTGAGCTAGTAAATATTTCTAATATTTCCCAATTTTTATTTTTTTGGTTTAAATTTGTTGAAAAAAATTTAAGCCAGAAAGTGAAATAGTGCTGTATTTTATTCTTTCATCTAGTCTTCCAACATTGCAGTATTAAATTTAGGCACAGTTGTTATCTACCTTGGGAAATGATCACTTAATTTTATAATTTAGATTTCTCACCTTTTATTTTTCTATTCTATATTATTCACCTTATCTTGAATTCCTACATTATACTTTCCATAGAGTGGTTGGTCTGTTAGTTAATCCAGTAGTTGAGATTTTAAAAGAATGTGTGAAATGTTAAGGTGGCCCAAGGCGGGATCACATCAGTAGTTCAGGTGTAATAAGAGTGATGGTGATGGAAAAGCCAAAGGCAGAAGTGAGCTGAGGCTTACAAAATGCAAGAATGATTCTGAAACAGAGCTCTTACTAGATTTGCAGGTAGACGAATTAAGGAAGGGAAAGGCGGGTGGGGCCTATGAACAGGGCGCACAGCAGCTGTGCAGCGGCTGCTCCCTCTCGGGAGCCGGGCCTACTGGCGGGTGCTCGAGCTGTCGTTGGAAAAGGACAGGAAAGGAGGACAGCTGGCAGCGGAGATGCCGTGTGGATACTAAGCAGCAAGAGCAAACGCACTTTTAGTCCCGAACAGAAGCGGTTTTTAGGACATTGAGATCTGAAAAAATATGGTACCTGAATATCAGTTCAAGAAAAAAATGGAAAAATGAGAGGGGCCTGGATGATGGAAAGGTGACTTTTCCCCAAAACTGAGAAGTTTATATTCTAAACAACCTGTTGGTTCTAAAACAGATTATTTCCTGTTTAACCTGATAGGTCCACAGGGAGGCTCAGGGCCTAGTGTAGCTTGAGGCTTCATCAGATCGTCGATCAGCTGTGTGTGTATTTTGGTGTCCAGGCTAGAGAAGTGTGTGTTCTGTGAAACTGCAGTTAGTTGGATCCTGGACTCAGAAGAGTCGTCCCTAAGGAATGTCAACTGATAGACTCACATAAATCTGAAGGGTATGGCTAGTAGATAAGAACCACAAAAAAAACTGTGATGGTCTCAGTAGACGTGCAGCTGTGGCCGCATCAATGGTGGAGGCCGGGCTCCGCACCGCCGGCATGTCAGAGGGCGCTGTGCTCACCGGAGAGGTAAAGGTATTGCACGCACGGTGGAAGGTGGGGTGCTTGGCACTGGAGGTCGGCAGCCTCAGTCTGCGTACTCAGCGGTTGTCAGGCAGGATGTGTGTGGGATAGAATTTCCCATGTTAGAAGGGACATAGACAAATGGCATGTGTCTAACCGAGTGGGAGGGTTTAAAACTAAGCTACTACTCACATGGGTTAGAGAAGAGGACACTTAGATATTACAGGACTCTATTTGTAGGGCTGTCACCTTTTTTATGAACTTCGGAGTGTTGAGTGGGTGGGCGGAGAAATTTTAGGAAAGATTTTGGTTCAGTAAAATAACTTTGTAACATTTAAGAACTTCAACAGTGTCTAAAACATATTGTCTTGGTTTTGGGGATATTTGGGGGTTAGTGTAGCAGGAATATTTATTTATTTATGAACGTTAGAAAACTGATTTATTACTGCTGTTGACGTTTTTTAAATTAAATTTATTGGGGTGACATTGGTTAATAGGATCACATAGGTTTCAAGTGTAGATTTCTGTGATACAAGATCTGTATATTGCACTGTGTGCCCACTACCCGAAGTCAAATCTTCTGTCACCAAATATTAGGCCCCCTTTACCTCCCTCCCCCCGGCAACCACCACCCTGCTGTTTGTGTCCACAACTTTCAGTTTTGTATCCCACGTACGAGTGAAATCATGTGGTTCTTAGCTTTTTCTGACTGGCTTGTTCACTTAGCACAATATTCTCAAGGCCCATCCATGTTGTCACAAATGGCAGAATTTTTATACTGGTGAGTAACATGTTTCTGAGCATTTAGTTCTCTGAACCACTGCTGTCGTTGGATATAGGTAGTGAGTGTGGAGATGAGGGGACGTTTGAGCATTATCATGTTATGTTTGATATAACTGAAGAATATTTGAAACATTGGTTCTGAAGCATTCCTGTTTCATAAATGAACATCTGTGAGCCCACCACCTATGAAGGAACTCGAGCATCACCCATACCCACAACATGCTTTTTTGGTTGTGATTATATCAACTTGATATCAACCAAAGCTCTGATCACCAGGATTTATACAATGAAAAGTTTTGGAGACAGAACTTTATAAAACATGAGAGAGAAAAGTAAGTAGAGTCCTTGTATACTGAGGTGGAAACCAGTGGATTCAATCGAGTCCTTAGTAAGCAACCTCTAATTATTCGAGGTGCAGGCACATAAAGGTTAAGCAAGAAACTTGTCTAAAATCACAAAGTAGTTACTGTTAGAACTCGAATCAAAACTTGTTCTAACGTGAGGGTTGTAAATAACATGCCAGGAAGTGCTAATGATTTCCTGGCTAGAAAGCGGCTGTTACTGAAGGGCAGTACTGTTTCTTGGCCGGTGCATCCACAGTGAATCAGTACAGTCCTTGATCACCTTTTGTTCCTGTGCACACTGTTTTGTGTATAATTTGTGTTCTATTATTATATTGAGTGATATATCTTAGGGACTGAAAGAAACATGATAGAAAGACTTTAAGAAAAAGTAGACTTTGTAATTACTCTGTTTGTGCTTTGCTTTGCATAACCCCTTGTCATTAGAATTTCTCTCCTCTTGACTTTTCTCCTGACCGGCGCCTGCGGCAGTCCTGCTGCCCCTCCTGCTTTGGAGCTGCGGCTGCCTCTGTGCCCTTCCTGTTCATACACCCTCGGTTATCTGTTTGTTTGTATACCTTCCCTGTTAGACTAAGTCCTTTGAGAGCTGGCACCATTACTTGTTTGACTTGAATGCCCTAGGACCTAGCTCACCCCTCCCTTCATTCACCCGCCCGTCTGCCCAGCCCACTGAGTATTAATTGAGGACCCACTGTGTTCCAGGCAGGATTCCAGAAGCTGGGAGATCGAGGGTAACAGATTCTCATGGGACTTTCAGTTATTAAGGAATCACACAAATGTTTATAGAAATATAACAAGTTGTAAATATATCTTCCATTATATCACCTAATTGGATATAAGAAGGTTATTGGGTTCTGTATGTTTATATGTTTTAATCTAGGCATCTGAATTTTTTCTTTATAATTGATTCTCTTGGTTTTTCTAAGTTTGATAAAATTATTTACGTGGAAAATCATCCCTCCCCCCCAACTGTTGTACTGTTATGGTTACTTACAGAGTTTTGAATATTGAACTATTTCTGCATTTATGGTGTAAAGTCCACTTTGTTTTGACACATACTCCTTTACTGTGCTGGCGGGGCCTCTTCACCTAGGGTGTCTGCATCTGTGCTTACAAGCAAAGTTTATCTGGGCTCCCTTTCATGCTGTCGTCGGGTTTCTGCATTGGAGCTTATTAACTTTGCAGCAAGAGTTGGGCAGTTCAGAGGATTTAAATGTAATAAATTAATACTGAAAGTGCTTTTGTATAGAGACTGGGACTGACAGATAGGTGTGTAATTTCAGTTAGGTTAAAACTTTCTAATTCCCTTTGGTTAATTGTTGTAATTACCTAAGCAATCATTTATGTTTCAATTATTACTTGGTTGTTGAGAACTTGATTTGAGAATTACTGTCATGCTAAATTTAAGAAAAACACTAATTTTTGATACTGGACGTCTTTATGAAAGATTGTATTATGAAACTGGAAATATAAAAAATAAAGAATTGAGGTCTTGTCCTTATGTAGTTCAATCCAAGATACCTTCTTTTGATTTTTAAAAAATTTTTATTTGCTTTCAGAAATAAACATTTGTTTAGCTCTGACAGGCAAATTATTTTTTGAGAAAATTTGTTACGAAATGCATTTTGCATCGTTGAGGCAGAAAGTGGATTAGAGTATAGTTTTCATGGATAAGACATTATGACTAAGCAATAACATCTTTGATGCCTTCTTGCTGTGTTGGATTTTATTTAACTTAAAGTGATTTAAATAACTGAAGAAAATTAAAGTGCACAATCATATTTGATAGTTTCTTAATAACAACAGATTGAAATTCCATGTTTGGGAAGCATACAAAATGCATTTTAAAAATAAAAAGAAGATTTCATTTTTAAATCCTAAAGGACACAAAACCTTTCTCCCAAGAGGGATGTAATCTATAGCGCAGAGAGGTGGTTACAGAGGCGTCCAACTAATTTAATGACAGCCCGTGTTATCACATTCCAGTGGTCAGGAGCCTGTCCTCTAGCACAGTGTAGAAGCTTAAAGAATTCTTGAAAGATTTCATCAATTTCTTTGTAGAGGACTTGATTCATTAAAATAGATTTCTCATACTTTGTTTTAAAGAAGTATATTTATACCCAGGATGCATATGCATCTGAAGTAGGAGAGAGCCTTTGGTACTAAGTTTTGTCTGATAGGCATTCTTACGATAGTTAATTGACTGAGGCTATCATTTGGAATTACTGGCCCTATGTATGTGTGGAGAAATCAGATAAATAACACATCTGTATCATAGTGGATAAGAACTTGGGCTCTGAGGTTAGTTTTAATAAAATATATTATTTGGTACATAAATTTGATTTCTGGTAGAAATAAATTGAGGCTACAGTCCTGTTAAACAGACTTCATCCAGAGAATAGTCGAATAGGTCAACAGTTCTTTACTTCTTTGAGTTTTAACACTTTACCAATGAAATCCTCCCCTCCCCTTTCTTTTTTCCTGGACTAGCAAGAATATTTTCATCTAACACATTTAAAATTTTTGCTTTCAACAGAAATTAGCAGAGTACGGAAAGACATGTACAATGACACATTAAATGGCAGTGCAGAGAAAAGGAGTGCAGAGTTGCCTGATGCGGTGGGACCTATTGTTCAGTTACAAGAGAAACTTTATGTGCCTGTGAAGGAGTACCCCGACGTAAGTATATTTTGTTTTATTCAATATTTCTTCTGCTGCAAATACTTTGGGAAGTGATGTATTTGATGGTAAACACTTAAGCATTGTGAGCTGTTTTAAAAGAATTTCATGAGAGGACTAGAGGTGTGAGTAATTTGGAGTGGATAACTTAAAAAGGTTCTAAATATGTTTTCATTTGAATACTGCTTGTGTCACTTTTGGTAATGCACATGGTGAAGACTTAGTTTTATTTTTGTTTTATTTTTTTAATATCTTTATTGATTTCAGAGAGAGGAAGGGAGAGGGAAAGAGAGAGATGGAAACATCAATGATGAGAGAGATTGAAACATCAATGATGAGAGAGTCATTGATCAAGCCCGCAACCAGGCATGTGCCCTGACCGGGAATCGAACCCCGATAGCCTGGATCCTAGGTCGACGCTCAACCGCTGAGCCACGCCCAGCCGGGCAAGACTTAGATTTCAGATCAAGGCAAGAGTTATGTGAAGCGCTTTGGCCTGAATGTTCGAGAGCACGAAGTACAACTCTTGGCTCATCTTTGACCTGACCTCAAAGAAGCCACAGCCTGGGCCATGTTGTCTTTTTATTAAAATGAGAGTTTGGACCATGTGAGAGCTAAGGGTCCTTTCAGCTCTAAAATTTCTATGTCAACCACTGTTTGCAACTTATTTTTTGTTCTGAATTCCTTGTTCACCTATTCTGTATGAGCATTTTGTTTCAAATAGCCTCTGTGTCCTGTGCCAGTTAACTTATAAATAGCTCCAAACTCTGCCTTTTGTTACAAAGCCCTACTTGATATGGTCCTTTCTTTTAGACTTCATGGTAAATGATTTTCCCTCTTCCTCAATACACTGTGTAGTTACGTTGGCTCTTAGAACAAGTTGAGCCTCCTCGCAGCCTAGGACCTTTATGTTAGCTGTATCCTGATCTCTGCTGGCTGACTGCTTGTCATTAAGGTTTTAGCTTAAATGTCACTTCAGAGAGGCCTCCCCTGACCATGTTATCTAAAAGCAGTTGGGTTACTCATTCTTTCACATTAAGTTTATTTCTCAGCAATAGCTTTTATTATCTGATATTTTTCTTCTTTATTTTTCTTTGTCTACCGAGCAAGATATTTAAAGGTACTTAAATCAAGAACGTGTTTTTGTTATTAATTGCTGTATTGCAGGTGTGCATGACACTGGACATAATAGGCATCAAGTATCTATTGAGTAAATAAAGGCAAATTGGTGGCTTTTCCGCTGTCTTTCAGAGGACTTTTCCAAAAGCAAATACAGGAAAGAGTTGGTGGTGTAAGGCCGAAAATTACGTGTACTCTTAAAATTCAGTGATTATATTGATAATATACTAATCTAGAGAAGGGAAATAAATGTCTTAAGTTGGAATAATGGAAAAAAGCTTTGATATTTCACTAATTGCCTTTCCATTACAATTTCCTATAAGTCTAATACATTTACTGTTATAAGTATTTTTGGTTGCAAATATACAAGAAAGAATTTGCTGGAAGATAATTGGGTGCAGTAAAAAGGATTACAGGTGGGAATCAGGGCAGCTGTGAGAACCTCAGTAGGAGTTTGAACCTTCTCTGTTGAAAGCCTTGCTCTTAACATAATGTGGAATCTGTGCCTCCCAGACTTTTACCGTAACTTCAGATTCTTGGGAGGGAGAAGGTAAGTTTTCGACCAGTCTGCCATGACTAGGGACCTGATGTTGTCTACGTAACTAGACAGGACCGCTGTGGGCCTGCCCTGGGGATTAGGCTGATTCCTGGAGATGGGAAATTGTGATTTGGGCAGCTGTCTCAACTGCAGTGTATTGTTTGGTGTTTCAGTGGCCTTCTCATCTGCTTGTTTAAACTCTGAAGAATACGGTTTCAGCCTTAGTCATTAACATGGACTTCTTTTAAGACCTTGTTAGAGCATTTAACTTGGGTCTCCTTGGTCCTTGTTCTTCTTAAAAACAAACAGACACAACATTCTCTACATCAGTGGTTCCTAAAATGTGATCCCAGGACTATGATATCCACACCTACTGGGAACTTGTGAATGTTCACGCCCCACCCCAGACTAGTTGAATCAGAAACCCCAGGGGCGTAGCCCAGCAGTCTGCCTTCCCAGCCCTGTAGAGGAGTCTGATGCACACAAGTGTGAGAAACGCTGCTCTCCTGTATCATTGGAACAAGCCAGGCAGACAGGTGATGACATGTGGTCGTTTGCTGGGCTTTGCTCCAGGATACAGGTAGAGTGGGAACTAAACAAGGTCTTTGCTTTTGTGAAGCAGACATCACAGTGGCAGAGACAGCGAGCAGATGAATATTTACTTCAGGTGCAGTCAGTGCTCTGGAGGCAGCTAAAGCGGGGCTGGTAGGCCATGGTGCCGATGCACTTACAGTCAGAGGGTCTCACAAGGTGAAGGGGATGTGGAGACATCAACAGAGTGATGGGGAGGGGGCGTGAAAGCCACCTGGGGGAGAACATTCCAAGAAGAGTGAAGAAGCGCAGTGACTCTGGCAAGAAGGTGAGCTTAGAGAGCGTAGAGGCCGTGGGCCCCGGTGGGTCCCCGTAGGGATTTCAGATACTGTTCTGAGGCAAATGGGAAGCCATTCAGATGTTTTGAGCCAAGGAATGACATGATCTTCTTTGGGTTTTAATAGATTCATTCTGGCTGCTGTGTGGAGAAAGGCCTTTGGGCGATGGTGGCAGCAAGGAGACCAACTAGGGAGTAGAGGAGGGAGCTTGAGCAAGGGGACTTAGAAATGCTTGGATCCCACATAGATTATCACCTTAAAGCCAGTAGGATTTGCTGATTGGATAATGGAGTGTGAAGGAAAGTCATGAGTAGCTCAGAGGTTTTATCAGTTGGAGTTAGGGAATCGCCAGTTCTGAGCTAGGAAAGACCGAGGAGGAACGGGTTAAGGAGGGGGGTTCAGCAGTTCTGATTTACAGGTGTTGAGTTTGAAGTCAAACATCCAGGTGTGAGCATGTCCAATAGACATGTGGGTATGTGACTTGTAGACGACTCTTTGCACTCCAAAATGTCTATTTTAACAAAGCTATTTAAATGAGAATTTTAGTTATAATTTATGGGAGAAAAGAAATGAATATAAAACCATTTTGGTCCTTAATTTAAAATTTGTTAAAAGAATTTAAGTTTGGCCCTGTCCAGTGTCGCTCTGTTGGTTGGGCGTTTCCAGTGCACGGAAAGATTGTTGGTTGGATTCCCAGTCAGGCACACGCCCGGTTGTGGCCTTGATTCCGGGTAGGGGTTGTGCAGGAGGCAGTAGATCGATCTTACGCTCTCACATCGATGTTTCTCTCTTCTCCCTTCCTCTCTCTCTCAAAATCAAGAAACTGTTCTTTAAAAAAAAAAAGAATTTGGCAAAGTTGGGATCGGCACGTAGTTTTTAAGTTTTTCTTCTTTCTTTGAGGTTATTAATTCACACCAAAAGAGTGGTACTGTTTTGTCGTATATATTAAGAACTTTACCTCACCTTAAAAAAATTGAATAATATTAAACAAAACGAGAGTCTGTGCCAGATTTGATGGTATGGGAAATACTTATTTCAAAATTATGAATTAGATATTGGCCAAAATTAAACATTATTTCTTCATGCTCTTGTTTTTTCCCCTCACTTATGTCTTAGAGGTTATTACATATGTGCCCCCCCCCCATATGTATATAAGCTTGACTTTGTGAGTGGATTCATTCCATTTGACTCAAAAATGCTTTTATTATTATTAAGGTTTCAAAAGGCCAATGGAGCATAGTTGTCAAAAGTGTGGATTCAGACCCAGGCCCCTGGCTGGCTTTGCTGTTTGTTTTCTGACTTTGGGCAAATTATCATTTCTGGTCCTCAGTTTCTTTACCTCTGTAATGTAGATAGTAATAGAGTTACTCTTTCACAGGGGTATGGAGAGTTATAAGTGAGTTATAAGTGAGCTTATATATATGTAAAGCGCTCAGAGGATGCTTTTCTGCTAAGAGTTAACCAGGATGTAAGCTCCACGAGGGTGAGGGTTTTGTCTGCTTTCATATTTCCATTTACCCATCTGGTAAATGTTAGATGGGCAATAAATACTTTGCATATCTGTGTGAAAGCCTCACTCTTTCAAATATTGGTAAACCTTTAAAAAGTTTCATCTGCACATAGCACCTTATTTATAGAAGTGTTAATTTGGAGTTGTTGTTTTGAGCTTGGCTGTGTATAGCTCTGGTATGGTAGGAGAAGGAAGCCTTAGATTCCGTGTTTGAGAAAGGAGTGGTACTGTGTAATGTCCTTCACTGTGTTCTTGAATCAGTGGCTTGATGTGGGAACTGGAAAGTAATGTCGGTAGCCTATTGAAAATGTCCTCTACTGTGTACCAGTCACATCCTAGGGGGGCTGGGGGAGATATTAATTCAGTTGAGAAAACAACGTAGTGGGGATAGTAGTGGGTTTTTGAGCCAGACTGGCCTAGATTTAGAATCCTGGCTTACCCCTCACTGGTGATATTTGTCAACAGGTGCCACAGTGACGCTCCATAATAGGCTATCCTAAAACTCGGCATCTTAAAATAAAGCAAATTGATTTCTGTGCTCTTGAGTCTGTGTGTATGTTGGTTGAGGTTCTGCTGATTGGGCTGAGCTGAGGTTATCCAGGTCTAGGCCGGTTGCTGGTGGGTATTCCTGTTGGGCTCAGCCCAGAGGGGCAGCAGCTACTTGGAGCTTCTCTTTTTGTGTCAGGTCACTGGAGTGCCAGAGACAAACCCAATTGCTTAAGCAGGTGTAAGGCCTCTGCTTTTGTCCCATCCACTAACATTCTACTAGCTCAGCAATTGTCAACTGGGGAGGTTTTGCCCCTCCAGGACATTTGGCAACATCTGGAGATTTTTTTAGTTGGCAAAATTCAGAGTGGTTACTAATGGCATCTAGTGGGTAGAAGCCAGTTGTGCTGGTAACCATCCTCCAGTGCACAGAACAGCTTCCACAACAAGGAATTAGCCCGCCCAAGATGTAGGGAGT